AAACAGCTATAAGTCCCCTCCTTGCTTTTGCTCCATTTGCTTTCCGTTTTCCTCTGATGACCGTGAGAGTTCTCCTTTTACGTCCCTTCTTATACTACTTATATCGTTCGTATAAGTAGCACACACCACAGTACTGCAGGCTATAGAGAGGTCTGACAGAAGTAATGTGTTTCCCTAAGCCAACCAGCATCCGCAGTGATGCTTCCTTCCCACAAGGAGGGAGGGGGTCAAAAGAAATCGACTGTAAAGATGTCATATCCACCTAACTCCACTAATTTCCGTCTCCGGCGGTAAATATATATATATCTATATAAACGGGGAAGTAAGAACTCGTGAAGTTAAGGAAACTCGCCGTTGCCTTTTTGTTGTCTCTGCCTATGCCCTCACTGATTGCAGCTCAGACGAGGTAAAAGATGAGTTTCCCAGAAAGCGTTCAGACCTCCTCTAAAATGCCAAGCGCTCTGGCATAGAAATAATGACTATGACTTTAGTGCTCAAGTAGATAGACTAAGAGAAAAAGAAAGATACCTGGTGGGTCTCATGGTGTCGCGGCTAATAGAACGGATAATGGTGACCATCTGCTACAGCTATGCTGAGATAACTGCCTATTTCTAGCAAACACCAACTTTAAGCATAACGAAAAACATCTTTTGACTTGACGACCTCCAAAGCCGACCGAACTAGACCAAATTACTATCAGCCATCGGTGGAGAGGCTCTATAGAAGACTGCCGCTCATTCTGCAGCACCTGTTTAGGTTCAGAACATGCTCTAGTGCGAGCGCTTATTTGTTTGAAACTTATTGGACATAAGAAAGACACCCCAAGGAAACCTTAAAGGGTTCGGAACAATTAGAAAAAACAGTTAGGCAGCTATGCAGGTGATGCCCAACCTGAGGCAGCTTGGAACAATATCCAAAAAGCTGTGGAAACAGCAGTGATATTCTCCAGTAAAGTAAACCATAAGGTTGGGAAGAAGCCGTGGATTTAATTAGCATCTACCGAACTGATGAATGCTTTAAAACTCATCCCGTCTGGCTTAGAGTACGATGAGGAGCGGAGTCAGCCTAGGCGCAGGCTGATAAAAAGCCTATGCAGTGATCGCTAACAGTGGTGGGTAGTGAAAGCGAGAGAGATGGAAAGGGCAGCGGCGATAGGCAACAGTGTGTGTTATCCCATCTGAATTTTTTTCAATCATTGATCGTCCCAGTCTATATAAAAGAACGAAAGTCCTCTTATGACAATCGCAGAGAAATATAGAGGTGATGAGGGATTCATATGATTACAATTTAAGAAAACCCAAAGAGTGGATGGGCCTGAGCCATTGTAAACGATTGATTTTGAGCCGTTTCATTCAAAATCTCTAACTGTCGGTTACTATTGCCTTGAGGACCCCTGTTCTAATTGTTATAAGCTTTTTTAAACTAGATCGCACTAACAAATCGAAATGCTTACTTGACGATGCGAGTCTCAAGATTTTTGGACTGGTTCGCTTCCCCATAGACATAATGACACTTGTATATCAAGAAGTCAATCAGTCAGTTACAACGTAAAACTTCGTTCGTACCTAAATCAGTCCATATTGCCGTACCACATTAGCACAAAAACGCAATCGTTATTTCAAATCTGATAGTAGTAGATGTAGTAGAAGTATTAGCAGTAATCAAAAAGATTAATGAACGAGCATCTAATTCGAGATGTATGCTTCAGAGAAATCAATTAAAAAAGAGAAAAAACGGTCATGAAGAATCCAGAGGATTAGAATTTGAAAGAACATAAAGAATGAATACACCTGCGCCGTTCCAAACTGTTTTGAGCAATGTTATCCAGGGTTTCTGACCATTGATTACTATCGTTTCGCAGACCAATAACCAGGTAGTCGACACTTACCATCATGACTCAGTTCACTAGTCAGTGACTTCATGGTTTTCTGCCATGTTTTGGTTAAGCCACCCCTAGCTTTATTCCAACCTATTCCTACACCACAAAACATCGCTCGACCAGGCAGTCGGTGGTTAGACATTCGTAACACATGTCCCAACCACCTCAACTGATTAAGTTTCAGTACTTCATCTATTGATTTGCCATTCTTACCTAGCATCCGTTTCCTAATAACAGCATTGCTTACTCGGTTGTCCCAAAATACATGAGCAATACTTTTGAGACACCTGTGATCGAATATCTACTCTGACTGGCCCCATGTCCCACTACCATAAAGTAGGATGGAATGAACTACTGAGAAGTATACTCATCCTTTAGTTAGTAGACGGATATCTCGCCTACGGCATAACTGACACAAGTTGACAAAAGCCAATCGAGCCTTCTGTATTCGTATATATATATATATATATATATATATATATATATATATATATATATATCTGGGCAGCATCATCGACAATCAAGGTGGATCCAGTGCAGATGTGAAGGCACGGATTGGCAAAACAAGGGTTGCAATTCTACAGCTGAAAAATATCTGGAACTCCAAACAACTTTCAACCAAAACCAAAGTCAGAATTTTCAATACAAATGTCAAGACAGTTGTACTGTATGGAGCGGAAACTTGGAGAACTAACTACCAAAGCCGTCATCCAGAAGATACAAGTGCTTATTAACAATTGTCTACGCAAAATACTTCGGATTCGTTGGCCAGACATCATCAGCAACAACGTACTGTAGGAGAGAAAACAAACCAGAATCCAGTGGAGGAGGAAATCAGGAAGAAGCGGTGGAGTTGGTGGATAGGACACACACTACAAAAAGCACCTAACTGCATCAGATGGAACCCTCAAGGCAAAAGGAAAAGAGGAAGGCCAAGGAACACATTATACGCCGAGAAATAGAGAAAGATATGAGGAGGAATGAACAAACATTGGACAGAACTGGAGAGGGAAGCCCAAGGACAGAGTTGGTTGGAGAATGCTGCTGGTGGGCGGCCTATGCTCCTCTATTGGGGGTAACAGGCGTAAGTAAGTGTATGTTAGTGAAAATATTATATTTTCTATCGAATAATTTATCAAGTCATTTGATCCTTAAATAAAAATTAATAAAAATAAATATCAATCTCTGAAAATTAAAAATAATAATGATGAATTTATTATCAAAAATAAAATTTTTTAAAAAAAAGAAATAATTCAAAAGTCAAAAGACATTGAAAAGTGAAAAAATAATTTCTGTTAAACATTGATAAATTGCTCTTATGTCACAAGTACATTATTCGGTTAACTTGTGATATATATACTATCACCGCTGAATAAATAATAAAGTTAAAGATGTTAAGAAATGATCATCATAACATTACAACCAATGATTAATATAAGGAAGGAATATTACGATTGACATAGGAAAATATGATTCTCTTGAGGTATAAAGTTTATGACTAACTAACTAACTTGGTTCAATTTTCAATTGATTCAATGCACGAAATGTTCCGAATGTTTGATATATTTAAAAAGTCATTTTTGCACTCTGAATCATGTCATTTTGTAAATTATATAAGAGTTGCATTTACATGAGACAGATCACCAATATGTACAACAAGTAGAAAGTGATGAATATACGAAATGTTCCGAATGTTTGATACATTGAAAAAGTCATTTTTGCACTCTGAAATATCAAGATTAATTAAGTGAATGGTAAATAATTATATGAGAGTTGAATTTATGATGAAATAGAGAGCTAGAGACAGACAGACAGACAGACCATCACAGTAGTAGAGGTAGTAGAAGTACTACTAGTAGTAATCAAAAAAAAAGATTAAAATGATCGAGCATCTCATTCAAGATGTCGTCAAGTAGAAACTGATCAAAGTACAAAGTACAAAAAAAAAAAATCAAAGCATAACAATTTTTTTATTTTAAATGAATTTCGATAATAAATCAATGCCATTCACACAACAACAACAACTTGCACTTGCTGGCAAATGTAAATCTTTCACTGATTCCCAATGATTTGATACACTTGGTGACCAACGTTCCACTGATGCAATAGTTGAATTAGTTACATCACTCCAACCACCAATCACGTAAATCATATCATCTAATGTTGTAACACAAAAATTACTTCGTTGATTTAACATTGATGGCATAATTTGCCAACGATTTTCATCGGCATTATAACGTTCTACAGTACGTAGTCGTTGTAGACCATCATTACCACCGATAGCATATAAATAATGACCGCATACTATAACACCAACACCGCTACGTATATTATGCATTGATGCAACCATAGTCCATTGATCTGTACGTGGATTATACATTTCTACTGAATTATAAAAATGATGACCATCAAAACCGCCGACAACATAAATACAACCCGAGAATGAATATGCACCAGCATCACTACGTATTTGATGCATTGGTGCAATGAAACTCCATTGATTCTGTTCAATATCATAACGTTCCACCGAGCTTAGACGTGTACGACCATTATGTCCACCGATAGCATAAATATAATTATCTAAACTACATGTACATACATAATTACGTTTTTCATGCATTGGTGATAATAATTTCCATGTAAGAGTAATTAATTCAAATGATTTTAATGTTTGTGTTGGTCGACTAGCGACATAACCACCAATAATATAAATGTTGGTATTATGTAATATACAACCAGAATATGCATGTCCTTCAGTTGGTATTAAATTATCAGCAATAATACGACGCCATGTATCAGCACGTGAATTATAAACTTGAATTAATTTGGATGGACCAAAATTTGGATCCTCTTGATTGCCTTCCCATCCACCAATCACAAATATTGCACTATGTGGTAGACGTGGTTTATGTAAATAGATATAAAGTTCTGCTTCATCGCTTAGTCGTGTATTATTTAATAAATTTTTAAAGTAAGATGTTAACTTTCCATTAGAAGAAATACGTGCCATCAATATAATATGACTACATGTGTTCCACATTGTTTGTATTAAGGAATGTTTAGATAAGTAATCTAGTTCTTCATTAGATAATTTACCTAATCGTAAACATTTTAATAAATCCGTGATATATGATTCTCTTTCGGATTTTTTATGATTTATCCATTTCTCAATAAGATTAAATAAATATTTTTCACTAGGACTATTCAGTGAATCTTCTTTAAGTAATTTTTTTAATTCTATGATATTTAAATTTAAAAATTCTTCAGTTTGACCAGCTTCAATGAAATTAGCGAGCAGATAACGTAGTGTAATCAGCTGATATTCTGGTAGTTCACTCAGGAGTTGTTCAGAAGCTTTCCAAAAATTCCAACAATTTTTTACATTGATTTTAGTTTTTACTATATGAAGACATTGATTGATGAAATCGAATGTTTGAAAATATAATCCGACTTCTAATAATGAATTAATTGTTGTTGGTTGAATATAATCACTAAGCATAGTGTTACGTGTTTCTTCATCACAATGTATAAATGATAGAAGACATTCTAATGCAGGTATATCAGGATAATTAAGTAGTAGAGGTTGACATTTTGGATAAGATAAATTTTTTATTTTAGCTCTACATAGACGATATTTTGATACAGCTAGAATTTTACGTCGATGTTGATAGCATGCCAGTTCTCGTCGACGTAATTTAATTAATTGACGTTTGAATAATTCACTTGCTTTGACAAGTTTATAACCATTAACATAATGAACATGATTATTGTTGATAATAATTTTCCGGTCAAGAACATAATCTGGTAGTGTGCTGGTAAAAAAACAGTCAGACATTATACAATATGTTGTTGTACATGAAGATAGATGTTTTATTGTGTGTGTTTTTTTTCTAATGATTTGACAGAGTTGTTGGTTTGAATTTATTGACGATTACATAATTGAGTTATCTATATAGGAGCGCATATTGATACAAGATAGTTTGTCTGAAAAATGGAAGTGGGTAGTAAAAGAAATAGAAGTGTTAATATTAATTATGATTGTGATGAAGTAAATAGGTATTGAATGGTTTAATATAATGACCGTTAAATGACTTAAGGTAAATAAATAAGGTATTAAGAGAGTCAGGTATTTTGGGGCAACTCAATAAAATTAAATTATTGTTCAAAAACGTAAAATAAGAACGTTTAACCAAAAAAATACATTCATTGTATAGTTTAAAATTGGAAAGATTCATTCGCATCAGGATCTGACTTTTGCAATCGTAATCGCAAATGACATTTTTGAAGGCAGTTTTAGAATCGGTAGCATAGCAGCTCGTTGATAAGTAGTTTCTAGTTGGGAATTTTAGAGACCTTTAACTCTTGAGGCTTAATGGTTCCTTTTTCGTAAAGTACGTTGGGTATATAACCGTTTGTGGTAGTGTTCGATGTCATATGGAGAGATGCGTCAAATGTACAAATATAAAGTCCTTTGTTTTTGACTTGAACATTTTAACCTATGCAAATATGATAACTTAGAGTACTGGGTTCTACAAAGACGCATCAGGTTAATACTTTAGTTTAGATGAGATTATTCATGTGAATGATAAAGTGGCAGACCATTTACGTTATACTACTAATAAGTGATCGAATATCGAGAAATAACTCGATATTCATGCCGATAAAATAAAGGCAGAGTTATCGATATATGGTTAAGATGACTTTTAAACAGATCATTCACATGAAAGAATAGTCAGCCTCACTCTATATTCTTCATATTTTTCCATAATACAAGATATATTCACTGAAATAAGTTGACCATAGACTTTCTGCTAAATATTCTACATATATTTTGGGTGTGTACATCACGTAATTAAGAAATAATATTGAATAATGGGCTATCGAGAGGCAATTTACAAGTTTTAAAAGGCACAAAGTAGATGAGTTAATGTATTGTTCACGCTTAAGACTGGCCGGCTGAAATTGTTTACTTACGAGTATCAGTATGAGACCGATACAATAACATAGAAAACAACAACTTCACGTTCTAACTGGTGACTGTCTAATCTATTGCTTCATACTGTACTAATTGTTTCAGAGGATAACAGAGAAAAGTATAATTCACACCTTAAACCGGGAATAATTTGCAAGAAGGTCAATTAACTGTGATAACATGAACTCGGCGTTGGATTTAAAATAAATTACTGAGTGGTCAACAATCGGAGCGCACGATCCAGTGAAGTTAGGGTATCCTATCTCAACAATTAGCATTAGCCTCTTTATTATACACATCCAAGGAGGATTTTTACGTTCACTGGCTAAGACAAAACGATCAACAGTTTCATCAAAACAATATCCTTATAAGTAAAAATGAAGTTTGTCGAGTAATTAAGTCTGAAAGACATCAAATGAGTTGAAACAATTTTCACTTCATTATACCCAGGTGGGAAATCCATAATATAAGTATATCAAATTGATCTCATGTTCTATATGTGCAGTGATTTAACATAAATATCAACTAGAACTTACAGGATTAACACCACGGTAACCATGGCAGCGGTTTTATTCTTCGCGCTAAGCGTTATTATCAATTTGGATACGCTACAAAAGAATTCAATTCCTTATATATTCTTCACCAGCTGGTATAAATGTTCAGATGTCTTTAAACTTTCTACCTATTGCTTCACTACAGTTTCAGGTACCTAATGTTGTCCAGTGGATGGTTGTTGAGCAACTGCAGTTAACTAATTCTGATTAGTTGGCATTTCCAAGAATTTATATCTCCTGAGAGAGGAGCAATGAATTTCACTAGCATCGAAATAATTTCTAGACGCTCTGAACTGCATCAGATCTGGATTTGAGCACGATGAAGTCTGCAGGAAGCTCAAACAGAGGCTGATAATAAGCCCACGCTATGACCATAATCATTTGTGGTTAGCGACCGCAGATGGAAAAGGTGGCAGCGATAGATAATCGTGGGCAGTTGTTTAGAATTATCAAGGAAACTGATGTTATGTATATGACCGTTAAAAATCATCTCGGAAGAAGACGACAGGCTTATTCATTGGGTCGATGGTTAGAACACCTTAGGAATCAGTTCAACTGGCTTGCCTTCACAACTTGGTTACCCACGATATACAGCCACCCTGAAATGCAAGCTAATGCTAGACCTGCAAATCCTAATGAGGCTGAAAAGGCCATATGCAGTCTAAGGCAAAGAAAAAAGGCAGGTCATGAAGGATTTTCCTGAGATTTTTAAGTATGGTGATCTTGATTTAGCAGTTATATTGACTGAGATCTTAGGTAGGATCTGGGATTTGGATGTAACCGCATCCAACAGGTCTCAATCACTAACCGACCTGGTCCATAAAAATGGACAAAAGTGCTCTCGTGACAAACAAACAGTGTCTAGGATAACAGCCTTATTGCTACTGCAACGCCTAAGTTGAACTCGTAAATAGAGGACTAGAGAAAACCAAGCCGGTTTCAGACCTGAACATGAATGTACAGAAAACATATTCTCACTTCTACAGGCATAAAACACAGGAACACATTCAGAATTCCTACCATAATATGAGGTAGTATTGGACTCTGCTGATTGTGTAGTTCTATGACAGTATGTGACTGAAAGCAGTCCCGAAGAATTACATTAATCTTGTTCAGGCCCTATACACAAGCACTAGTGTTAATGTGTGATCTGGCCTTCAACTGACGTCTGAATCGATTACTTCCAGCGGCGTTGTTGAAGGTTGTCCAATTTCTCTACTCCTATGCTACTTTGTCGTCGGCACGCTTTCAGAAACAATTTTTCTGGAGATGAAATTTTACCGGCAGATTCACCTGTTGACTTTGAATATGTCGATGACATAATTCTGTCCGTTCAAGACGGTGACAGAAAGCAGTTTTCTGACCATCATGAGCAAAGGCGAAAACATGTTCGTCATGCGAATCTCAGCCTTGAAATGCATAATAATATTTGTGGTGGTGTTTCGTTCTCTGAGCTGTTTGTTTCGGTTGTGGAGCTTTCATTGTTCTTCTGAACAACATCATCAGCACAAACTTCAGATAGAATTGAAAGCTCCACAACCAAAACAACCAGCTCAGGGAACGAAACACCACCACAATCATCCACCTGAGCTACAAGTTTTCTCCACTATCTCAAAATAATACTTCAGGATTTGCTTGTATGGGTACCCGAGCTAGTGATTAGTAGTGGGGCGGCTAAGCATATTAACCGCTTCACTGATCTCGAAAATCTCATCAGTGCTGATGGCCTGGTGACCGACGAAATCTCAGCATCTATACAGAAAGCTCGACTGACCTTAGTCAACTTGCGTCATGTATGGTGTAGGTGAGATATCCGTCTGTTAACCAAAGGATGAGTCTATTGATCTGCAGTTCGCTCCGTCCTACTTTATGGCTACGAAACACGGACGATCGGAGTAGAATATATTTGTAGGTTACTGATTTTCGATCATAGGTATCGCCAAAGCATTAGTCGTATTTCCTTGGACACTGGGGTAATAATAATGATATTATATTTATTCTCCAATAACTACGTTGCAAGAGTCACGCCAGTTTACAGGCTAGATCAAGTTGTCACAAATGCTTTCACAGTTACTGCAAAAGTTACAGCAGTTAAATTGAGTATAAGAGTCAGTTTCTGATAGCATATTCACAACATGTCACTGACAGACACAGTATGTTACAGCCACATTTTCAATAGTAGAGTACAAATAAGGACGGTGCACAATGGGTTCTTTTGGCGATTTGTCCAGATCAATAGTGAATTTGTTGGGAAAGGTAAAATGGAACGCGTTTTTATGTCAGCTCATAAATCCTTACCACCAGTCTTTTGTATGCACTGTGTGTTCAAGTTAGAGTGGAGATTTTGCTGTGTTTCATTATAAGCGACTAGGAAATCAGATCTTTAACAAACCTATCACTTAACGAAGTGTTCATTAACACAGGTACTGTATACGCTAACCGATGAATTGGTCAGATAAAATTGTTTGATTCCTAAGATCGCTAATAACTAATAACCAACTACCAATAAGCCAAGGAAACTATGATATCTTTGGTTATCATCACTTGAAATTACTCCACTATTTTTAAACACGATTTGATTCCTGGTCTCTTAAAAGCACGCCTGAATCTACATTCTCTGGCTTTCAGTGTTCAATCTAAGTGCGAATTATAATCAACAGTCATTTGTGCTCCATCAAACTAAAAATTATGTATCAGCAAATCGAATCCTCAAGGAATAGTTCCAAGGTCTCATGTTTTCATTGAATTATACCTTCCTAATACACCGAAAATCAGTGAGATCTGGAAAGCACCTGTTTGGTGACAGTTTGAGATTCTGCTGCATACAGAGATCTCGATTATTGAGCGCTTCTTTCCACCTTACTACACGGACAACTTTGACTGATAACAGCACCCATGTCATATTTAAAAGCATCTGCAGAAGGAAAAAGTTTCGATTCTGAATTATAATGCGTCAATAATAATCCAGAGAATATGACTTCCTGAGTTTATTAGAGGAGATTCGATCCTATTCTCACGATATCCATGTTACATTAGCTGTCAAAAAGTGTTTTATGGGATGGCACAGAGTCTATGTAAAAAGAATAATAATGAATCAATTCTCCCGTGGAAGTAATGTGTGTGAATGCTCTTGAAAAACATTTAATACAGCAAAAGAATCAGTGCATGGGTGAACGGCTCTATTGGTTTGCTGAACTGCCAAAATAGGATCTGGTTAGGAATAGAAAGTAGCTGAAAGCAAATCTTCAAAATTTTCCAAACGCCCAAGTTCTTCACTGTCTCCATCCGAATCGCGTCTGTTCGCAAATAGCGGTTTCTAGTGAAGTAATTAATGCTTAATTTTACTATCCGATAATGCTTTATGCAACACGGATACATTCCGAGAAATGTGTTCGGTCTGTCATACTTGTAGACAACCCATTAGTTTCTAATGGTTTTTTATATATTAACGATATATCCAATGTTTTATCTGATTTCGACTGAACATTAGCATCATTAACCAATCATCCCACACAAATTTCATTATAAGCTCTACCTAATGTAAACTATTCCTATACATGTTTTGATGTTGATGGAAAGGCTTTGTCTTATTTATCGGAAATCTCAGTTCAACAGATCACAGTCCTTTGTGGCCTGACGTGATGTGTGCGGTTCATCTGTGATTTCTGAACGTACAAATCACTGAGAAATGTCAAGCATCATAATAACATTTTTTTTGAAAGTTTGAAAGTCTCCTAATGAAATTTACTCCTCTTGTGATTATGTTGTATGTCTGATGGAACGGAATTAATTCGACGGTTTATTTAAGTTCCCTGTCGAGTTGCCAGCATTGTAGTGTCATGTTTTAGGTTTGCAAGACGTTAAAAATCTGCAGTTATCATTTGTAGTTTTATTCATTTATCTTGTTTTATTTACTTCATTGGAAGCAGTTGGGTAATAAGATTGACCTAAACGCATAAATTGTAGCTTAACATGAAGTATGTGAAATTATAGTACCTAATAAACCACTCTGAAATCAGATGGACCCCACCCAATTTTTCACTAACCTTGGAAGCTATATGAGCCCTGATTTTTAAAAAACATTTACCCTCATTTAGAAGGCTAACTTGTCTCTTACTGACTTGTTTCACATAGAGCTTCGGCAAAGTTTCAGTCTTTAAACTAAAGAATGAGTCTACCACAGAGCTGTTAGACCTGGTTCAATTCATGACCATGGAGTGAGATCTTTGAATACAAAACTGAGTGTGGGTTAGAAGATTATGTTCGTTACTTCAGCAGCATGAAAAGCTGGAGTAAGCATCATGGAGATTAGACGTGAAATACTTGAGATCCATGATAAACTGGTCCGTGACGTGGTAAATCTTTGCAAACCGAAGTGTTTGGGATATGCATAACGCCTATCTCGGCTGAAGTAGGAGTATTCTAAGGGAATGCTATGGACAGTCAAATAGGCATATAGTGGGAGCCACTAAAACCACTAAATGCTATCTCGAAACGTCTTCAGTAGGTTTAGGCTACCTAGTCGGGGCCGTGGCGATAACCGTGATAACGAACTGAGGAGTTTGGACAAAATGACTTGGAACTAGTCACAGCATATTTCGTGCATTGACTTAATAATTTAGGCATTAGGTCGTTCTTTCTAATTCAACTCATATGTTTTTTTTCTTACAACATTTTCATTGTCCAATACCATCTATATAACTATTGTTCTAATTGTTTCAATGTATATCTTCTCAATTTTTTATCAGAGGTTTGATGAAGTATGCAAAATTTTTCTTATGACAATATATCCATTGAGATAACATCATAATTCGTTATCCCATATGCAGTTCCCTGTGGAAACTGAACATATCAAAGTGTCTTCAAACGATAATTTCCTAACTCAGTTTACGTTTGGGGATCTTTATAAAAACTTTCATAAATATGACACAGAACACAGAAGCTTTAGAGACCACTTATTCAGCACCCTGATTTCAACACATTATTATTATTCAGAATATCAATCTCGTTCA